AGCCCATTGTGCAGGTAGACGGAACTTGGTTGTATGGCAAGTACAGAGGAACTCTATTGACGGCGGTGGCACAAGATGGCAACGCAAATATTTTCCCAGTGGCATTCGCTTTGGTCGAAGGAGAAACAAAGGAAGCCTGGAGTTTTTTTCTGAGGAACCTAAGATTACACGTGACACCACAGCCGAATGTATGTCTAATATCTGATAGGCATGAATCGATAAAAAGTGCATACAACAATCCAGAAAACGGTTGGCAAAATCCTCCATCTTCGCATGTCTACTGCATAAGACACATCGCTCAGAACTTCATGCGCGAGATTAAGGACAAGGTTCTACGAAAATTAGTAGTTAACATGGGTAAGGAAAAAATTTCGATTATCTAAATTATATAAGCACTTTTTTTTCATTTTTTCTAACGCATTGACGGATACAGGTTACGCATTGACGGAGGCCTCATTTCATTATTATCGCCGAGAAATCAGAAGATCCAACGCTGAGGCTTTAAATTGGATAGACAATATTCCTAGGGAGAAGTGGGCTAGAGCATTTGACGGAGGACAACGTTGGGGACACATGACATCTAACTTAGCAGAAGCAATAAACTCTGTATTAAAGGCCACAAGAAACCTTCCCATCACTGCATTAGTCCAGTCTACATATTATCGATTGGGTTCACTGTTTGGTAAACGAGGACACAAATGGACAAAAATGCTATCTTCAGGCAAAGTTTTCACAGATGGTTGTAACAAGGGGATGGCCGAGGAGGTAGCCAAGGCTAACACACACAATGTCATGCAGTTTGATCGGGAAAGATTCTGTTTCATGGTGCAAGAAAAGATTAATTACAACGATGGTCATCCAAAGGGTACTTTCAGCGTTGACTTGAGGAATTGTAGGTGTGACTGTGGAAAATTTCAAACGTTCCACTTGCCTTGCTCCCACGTGATAGCGGCATGTTCTAGCATACGACAAGACTATGTAATTCATATTCCAGAGGTCTTCACAATACTTAACGTATTCAAGGTCTACAAGGAAAGCTTCCTGGGACTACCGCACGACGAGAATTGGCCAAAATATGAAGGTTTCACTCTCTGCCACGACGATTCAATTAGAAGAAATAAAAAGGGGCGTCCAAAAAGTAGTAGAATCCGAACTGAGATGGACGACGTAGAAAAAGAGAAGAGACGGTGTGGGATTTGTAGAGAAATAGGTCATATGCGTAGAAAATGTCCCAATGTTGCCGGTCCGTCAAACCGACCGAATACATAATTATACTGTACTACTTTTGTATTTGATCAATCAATTATTTTTAATTCAACACAACTTTCAAATTACAACAACAGCAGCGAACTACAAACATAAAGTGGATTCGTGAATCCACAAACGCAAACATAAAACTCATGAAGCTAACATAAACTCTAACAAACAACAGCGACCAACACAAGTGGATCTGTGACTCCTCTGTTGACTTCACCACTATATGTTGAAAACATGCAATGGACATCTTCATCATTTTCTATGCGATCTAGGTAGTACATGTACGTCCCCTCCGGGCTAGCATCAGTAAGCGTTATATATGGACAACGATACTCAATTTTTCTCACCGTCACGCGACGACCGCCCAGCTGCCGAAACTCACTGTTAATTGCTGCGACCACGGTTCTGAAATTCCACAGCGGATCTAGGTAAACACTTAATTTTTTCTCAGGTCCATAGAAAACATGAGCTTGCACAGACATCTTTGTAAATCGGATGACTTGATACAAATGATAGTAAATTGACATACGCTTATTTATACAAAAAAATTACGTCTGAGTTCGGTCATTCCGTGACCGAACTATGTAAATTATTTAATCTTCTAATTTAATCTTGTCATTTTGTTGTTATAAATTATTTATTCAATTAATAAAATAGTTTTTATATTAAATTAAAAAAATAGTTTTTAAATTAAATTAATAAAATAGTTTTTATATTAAACTATTTAAATAGTTTTTATACTAAATAATATAAATAGTTTTAATATTAAATTATTTAAAAGTTTTTATATTAATTTATTTAAATATTTTTTACATTATATTATTTAAATATATCTTAAATATAATTAACAAAAAATAAAAAAATTAAAAAACAAAAAAAAAACCAACTCCTTCACATGTTCGCCCATTCAATGGGTGAACTTATGCATGGAACATTCTCTTTCACACGTTCGCCCATGGGAAGGACGAACTTCCTCTTTGCTTTCACTAGTTCGTCCAATCAATGGACGAACTCCTACTAAACCAGGGCATCCTTGTAAATAAGTTTCCAGAAAGGGCATTGTGGGATTAAATTTTTCAAACAAGGGCAGGTACGTGAAAAAATCCTCAAAATGGACTATCGGCTCTAAATGGATAGAATCAATTCAAGTTTTTTAAGACTGAGTCATAAAAATTTATTTAAGTTCGGTTCTGGATAGATTTCAAATTATTCGATTTTAAATATATTCTTTTATTAAAAAATTAAAATAAAAATTTCATAATATTTATTATAGATAAAATTAAAAAGACTGTATTATATTTTATAATTACTATAATATATTTTTAAATATAATATATATTTAAATTGTATAAAATAATACTCGAATATTTAAGATTAAAGAAATTAATAAAATACAAAGAAAAAAATTAATTATATTAATATTTAATATTTAAAAGAAAAATATTAAATAAAATAAAAATAAAATTTAGTGATTTAAAAAAAATAATTAATTATTTTAGAGTAATAAAATATAAATATTAATATAATCTTTTTAAATTCTTACCTATGTGTATCTAATATGCTACTCAGCACCTATATAAGATAGTCCTAATAAATATTGGAATTTTTTAGAGTTAAATTAAAAAATTTCTGAAAAATATAAACTATTATTTTAAAGGCAAATTCTATGATTTTTCAGATCTAAACAACTCTGCTTACGGAAAAAATAAAAAATGAATTAGCTCATTTAAAGGAAAAATATTTTAAAGGAAAAATATAAAATATAAAATGAATTAGTTTATTTTAAGAAATTTTTTTACCAAAATAACCAACTTTTTACTCCCTAAGTGCCGAAGTACCCAACATTTCAAGTTATTATCCAATCTACCCAACTTTCAAACTTTTATTTTATTTGTGAGGGGGCGTCATCCAGGATGGTGACATCCTTATAAATTAAAGGGGAACGTCATTCATGATGGAGGCACCCTTTAAATTATAAGGGGGGCGCCATGATGGAGGCACCCCTTATAATTTAAAGGGGGGCACCATCCTCTTTGGAGCCCCCTTTATTTCGTTTAATTTTTTAATTCTAATATAAATAATATAATTAATATTTAATACTATTTTAGACCAAATTTGTTTGTAAAAATAGTTAGAGTTGTTTTATCCAAATTAACATTGTTTCATCCAAATTTAGGAGAGTGAGTCATGTATCTTAGAAGATATGGGCATGTCATTTTCTCAAGAACGAAGCCTCCGATAAGGATGTTGTTTTGGAACATTCAGAGTTTAGAGCAACTACGAAGAAATTTGAATCGGTGGTTAGAAGGAGACTTTTCAAATGATAAAAGCATTAGGAGTATTGAAAGACTTGTTTCGTACTTCTCTGTTGAAGACGGAAATATACGGCGGGAGTGGGTGCGAATTAAAGATCACAACGAAGTTAGCTCTATGATGTTCAGAACTTATGATATTACTTTGATTGTTGTTATATCTTAGTTTATGTTGTAATAATCATTATATTTTTAATGATTTGCGTTATTTCTCTAGCAGTATTTCAATTTGTTTAAGTGGTAATCAAAAGTTGTTATAAATATTAAATTCCAAGGTTATACATTTTTTTAATGACCAAAGTAAATCTATCTAGAACTTATTCCAACATTTGGACAATTATTCCTCGTATGCTCGGGAAGACGACATATTCCGCATAATCTTTCCATTTTCTCAGTTGAATCCATTTCAGTTGTAATTCGCGTGCTTTTGGGGCGGCCCTTTTTGTTTCTTCTCATATTTTCGTTGTGGTAGATTGTGTCTCCATGATAGGTTGGCCAATAGTCCTCACTAGCTACCACTGGAAAACTGTTATTGTAGATACCGAATAAGTTCACGACCTTGTAAACTTCTGATAGTTGCAAGAATGGATCGTGACGAGCACTTGAACATGCGGCAATGACATGTGAACAAGGCATGCGGAAGGTTTGAAACTTTCCGCAGTCGCACCAATTTTTCTGAATTTCCACCCTGTAGTGTCCCATTGGCCGACCCTCGTTGTGATCCATTGTCTCATCAACAATGAAGCTGTAATCGTGACGATCAAATGGTCTAACTCGATGTGAGGTCGCCTTAGAAGTTTCATTCTTCATATATTTCATACATGATTCGCTGAATATTTGCCCTGATTCCAAAACAGCGCTCTATTTTTTGCCTCTTGCCGCAAAAAGTGACCCCAATCTGTAATAGGTTTCTCTCACCAACGCAGTGATGGGGAGGTTCCTAGTTCCCTTAAATACGCCGTTCAGGGATTCTACAAGATTTGTGGTCATGTGACCCCAGCTGCATCCTCCATCAAAAGCCCTTGTCCATTTCTCGACTGGAATGCTATCCACCCACCTTAATGCTTCCGCGCTTGACAATCTTATTTCTTCGCGGTAATACATGAACGATGGTTGGTTTAAGGCATACCCAACATTCACAACTTTTTTACGGAGATTTTTGTCTTTCATTTCCCGCATAAAATTCTGAGCGATGTGTCTTATGCAGTAGACATGGACAGAAGGAGGATTGTGCCAACCATTAGCAGGATTGTTGTAGGCGCTCACAATAGAGGCATGTCTGTCGGAAATCAGACATAAGTTGGGTTGAGGAGCGACATGTGTTCTGAGATTTCTGAGGAAGAAACTCCAAGCTTCACCTGTCTCACCCTCGACCAGGGCAAAGGCAATCAGAAATATATTATTACTTCCGTCTTATGAAACCGCCATCAACTATGTTCCTTTGTATTTTCCATACAACCATGTTCCATCGACTTGAATAACCGGTTTGCAGAACGCAAAACCTTTGATACATGGTTGAAATGCCCAAAAGAGACGAGATAATATCCTACTTCCATCAACACATGTTCCTTCAGAAGTGTATGCTGGTAGTGACTCCAATATTACAACCGTACCAGGAACATATTTTTGAAGTGCTAGTAAAAACTGTGGAAGTTGATTGTAAGATTTTTCCAAATTCCCATACATATGTTCAACCGTTTTTATTCTTCCAATCCAAGCTTTCCTGTACGATGGGGTATAGTTGAACCGTGCAACAACATGAAAGATAATCGTGCTCATCTTCACAGATGGATCTACGCTCACAAGATGTAAAATCTCTTGGCATATCAATTGAGAGCTTAGTTTTCCATGATCTTGCTTATTGATGTTGGTTGTGCAACTATGAGGTGGATCCATTGAACCTATCTCCCAACAATCACTTCTTTTCCGATAGGATGCTGCTAACCGAAACTTGCAACCTTCGTTACGACAAACTACGACATAGCGTTTTGAGTCGTTCCGATTGATGTAAAAATCAACGAAGTTATCCATATGAAACTTTCATATAGCTTTCATGCACTCTTCTTTTGTGCGGTACTGGTTTCCCACTTTAAAAACACCTTCAATTTGTTGAGAAGGATTGTAGAAAAAATCTGAGGAAGTATCATCTCCATTCAATTGCAAGTTAGTCATGTGTTGGAGAGGACAATACACATGACTTAATGGTAGTGCCTCTTCATCTATGTCTTGAAGTGGCATTATTGCAGTGTAGTCCCCAGTCCCGAACAAATTAACCATTTGATAAACCATGGCCTCAGGTTCTTCTTCCTCCTCGTCCACAACATCAACTTCATCTAGATCAGTTGTTTCCTCGTGAGATTCACCAACTTGATGTTGAGTCTGGCAGAGTAATAAATAAACCTCGATATAGTCGAACCCAGAGTGCTCATGACTATCAAACATTTGTTGAACATCGTCATCGTCTTGTATATTCTCTTGAAAATACTTGACCTGATTGTTGTCAAAGAAAACATAACTTCTGTATATGATTTGAGTGATTGGACCACACAATATCTTCGACTCTATTCGCTCTTTGAAAGGGGTTTGAGTCACCTTGACATGTGTACGAAAAGCAAAATTTGCATGCATGCAGAATGCCAAGTGTGGAGGATTCTCTACACACTTCAACCATCTCATTTATTTTTCTACACATCAATAAATATTTCAACTACACCAATTTAATTTTTCACTCTACCATAAATTCAAAATTCAAATTCAAATTTTTTACTATAAATACTTCTTGCTCCTCATTGTCAAAACTCATCAAATATATCCAACAATTCAAATTCTACCAATATTTTCTCCATATATTCACACTATATAGTCCATAGAAGAAATGTCTCTATTAACATTGGGCGAAATGCATAGAGGAACACCAAGCAACACTGCGTCTTATGTAAGTATTTGTACCCGATAATTCACAATGTTGTATTGATTTGTAGCATTCTACTATTGTTATAAATACAGTGTTGTAATGGTTTATTTTATTGATTTGTAAAATACTCATAACTTCCGAACTCGTGGGCATAAACATTTCCCACATGTCCCGATAATTCAACCATATTTGGCGCGCACAGAATTTGGAGAAGTCATCAAAATAAAAAATTATCTCCTTGATACCAAGTTCATTTTAGCACTTCAAGAAAGGTGGCGACCCGAGACGCATACATTTCATCTTCCAATAGGTGAATGTGTTGTTACTCTCGAGGACACTTACATGTTATTGGGTTTACCCATTAATGGTAAGGCGGTAAACGGTCTCACCAATCCTAGCGGTAGTGTGATAGAAGAACTTTTAGGGGTTGAACCAACCCCGCGCGATTTGAGGGGCCAAAAAATATTATTATCATGGCTCGAAATTTTTTTTGGAGAGATGAGGTTAACCCGAGACTCTTAAGAAATATTGAAAATTAGAAAAATAAGAATTTATATTATGCTACTAATAGGTTTATTTTTATGTCCGGGTTCAAGTGGTAACGCTATTCATCCTATGTATTTAGTTTTATTAGATGACATAGATAAAATAAGAACATATAGTTGGGGGTCCGCTACACTAGCGCACCTATATCGGTCTTTGTGTAACAACGCAATAGCAAATTCGGGAAATTTTACCGGATGTGGTGTTCTTCTTCAAGCTTCGGGTTGGTCAAGAATGACCAATCTAGCACCTACCCAACATAACAATTTCGAATTCCCATACGCTACAAGGTAATTACTTAGACCAAGAATGACCCATCTTCCATAGTCTTTTACTTAATTAATCCTATTATTAACATATGTTTTCTTTTCGATTTGTAGGTGGTCTTCACTTGGGATGAATTACGACAATTGTCCCCATTTCAGTATCACCCAGTACAAAAATATTATAGATCATTTGGGTCAAGATGATGTACCCTCACTAACCTACCTATTTAGAATATAGTCTCTTGAATATTATTAGAAAATACTAAATATTATTTTTTCTCCTACAGTTTATTTGACGGTCATATCTTGGTCTAGAAGCCATTCATGAAGTTGACGAACACGACTCTGCAGTGTGGAGTGCAAAGGTGCCGATTATCAACTTCACCACCGTGGAAATGCACAACAGTGATCGTGTCAAGCTTCAGTTTGGAATGCTGCAAGATATTCCATGTCCGCCAAAATGCATCCCTGATAAGTTTCACACCGGTAAAGTCTCCGACCAATGGGAATATTCTCCATGGACCAAGTATGCAAAACATGAGTGTCGTGAATGGAAGCATCGCCGGTATCTTGTTTTGTCCGACACTGTGTTTCCATACGAGAGAAAACAATCTATCCAATACATGAATTGGTATAGGTCTGTATCCATTGGTTTCATTTCGCATCCAAGATATCTAGTTGACCCATGCCAACAAGCCTCATCATCAAGACCCCAACAACAACCTACCCAGCCCCATTTCCAACCGCCAACCCAACCCCCACTCACACAACCACAACTCCATGAACATACCCCTAACCAATCCACCTCATTCACACAAACTTATTCACAATCCCAATACCTACAATATCCACCACTATACCAAACATACTCCTGTGATACGACAAACCAATTTAACACGCAGTACCATACACCCAATCAACCCTTACCGACCCAAACATTTACGCCCATGTCACCCTACGACCAGGCAGGCTATCGTCCTGAAATTGCCTCATCGAGCCAACCACCCCAACATAATTATGAAGGCATGGGCAACCCTATTAATTTGGATGACTTTGCGGATATCGACTCGTCTTCATGGGCCAAAATGATCCAATTTCTTGAAGATGACACATCGGACCCGACTCCACCACAAAGACCACCAAGAAACGTACGTAATAGAGGATGCGGTACAGGCGGACATTTACCCTAACCTAGTTGTAGAAATTAGTGTACCATATATCTCATATGTACCCATTTGTTATTAAATAAAAATTTTAATTATTATTTAATATTTAATTTATTAAATACAATTTAGTTTTTATTTATTATTTGGAAATTATTAATGAAAATATTAATTATTATTTATTTATTAATTGTTAACAAATATAAATATTATTTAGAAATTATTATTTATTAAATATTTTTTAATTCTTAAATATTATTTATTAAATATTTTTAAACATATTATATATTAAAAGTCTGGAGCCCGAATGGATTACATCGTGGAGCCCGAATCGATTACATCGTGGAGGGTCCTGAAAGACCTGTTTTTGAAACACTTCACAGCGTCCCGTCGCCACCTGAAGACAGAAGCCGCCCTCGGCGTAATAATCCAAGCTCCCGACGAGCCTCTCCGAAAGTACATTGAAAGATTCACACGGGAGGCAGTGCAGGTAACGACGTCAGACGAGATGAAGCGTTACCTAATGGAGCAGGGTCTACACCGCGACTCCAAGTTCTACGGGGCCGTTGACATACACCGACCAGCTTCCCTGCAGGATTTCCTCAACAGAGCCTCGCATTATATCCGGTTCGAGGAAACCCAAGCAACTAACTCCGCCCGAGACACCCGAGACAAGGAGGCCCCCCGCGGGCACCGAGATGACGGAGCCTCAAGCCACCGGCGTGGAGGTGACCACCGTCGAGAGGATCGCCCCCGCGAACAACGCGAACACCGCGGCCCCGCCGGCCGGTTCACGGAGTACACGGCCTTAGTCGCTTCCCGTGAGCGCATACTGGTCGAGTGCGCCAAAATCGAATTTGCCCAGGGAGGTGTCCGCTTCCCTAGGCCGACACCCCCCAAACCTAATGTAGACAAATCGAAATACTGTCGATTCCACAGGAGCCACGGGCACGTAACTGAAGACTGCATCCATCTCAAGGACGCGATCGAAATCCTGATTAAGGACGGCCACCTAAAGAGATACACCCGGGGGGGAGGCCCCGAGGCCAAGAAAATCGAAGAGCTCCCTTCTTTGGACGACGACAATGGACTTCAGGTCGCACTGTGCATCAGCCGCCCCGAAGACTAGTTCGCGGACAGAGAGTTCGGCCTCCCCGACGGCTCTGACCTACCCGTCGAGCCGGTACGGCCAACCGGTCAATGGGAATACTTTGCTAGAGCCATGGTCATTTCTGGAGGCTCCACGAGGAACCTGTCCGTAGGATCGGTGAAAAGAAAACTCGAGGAACTTATCACAAGCAACTCCGATAAGATGAGCACGCTGGAAAAATTTCGCGGTCGATCCAACCCGATCACATTCTACCTCGAGGAACTCCCCGGGGGCTCCCCCAACTTCAACATTCCCCTCCTGATACAGGCGCAGATGGCGAACTTCGATGTTAGACGCATCCTCCTCGACAGAGGCAGCTCGGTGGACATCATGTACACCCACCTCTTCACGACCCTCCAACTCGACGAATCTAACCTGTCCCCTTACGTAGGATCCGACCTCCAGGGGTTCAACGGGACGACGACGAGACCTTGGGGATACGTGGAGCTGAAAGTCACGTTCGGGGAAGAGGAAACAACCAGGGAGATCAGCATCCGTTTCTTAGTCATCAAGTGCCCGTCTCTCTACAACTGTATCCTGGGCAGAACGACGATGGCAGAACTCACCGCGGTGCCTTCCACCGTCCACCTAAAGATGAAGTACTACACGAGGCGGGGGGCCGTGGTGACCCTGAACGGTGACATCGAGGCCGCCCGGAGGTGCTTCGAGGCTGCGCTGAAAGGTCTGAGCACCATCGCTCCAGCAACTAAGAAGGCAACCCAACCGTGACGCCGAAGAGCGAACCAAAGGAGCTCGTCGGATCCGTGGACCTCGACAGCCGCTTCACCGAAGAGCACGATCACGAAATAAAGACCAGCGAAGCCAACCAGTCCAACGGGAAGCCCACCCACCCGGCACAC